TTCTTGTGTAATATTATTAATATTAGCTTCAAATTACTAATAATTTTTTTATATTGCGTAGCTTTTACTTTAAATATTTTTTTTGTAATGCAGAGCCCTGATGAGTGTTTCATTATTTCAATAAATAAAACATGAAACGCGTCGGCGAAATTAAACTCTGCATTATCTTTTTATTATTTCATAAAGCACGAATATTCAATTTGACAAATTAATTACGACTTCATCGGTTGCTGAAAAGCAAGAGTTGAGACTAGCAGATTAATTTGTATCTGAGAGATATAGATTGATCTGTTTCTATTTGAATAACAGTAAAATGCAAAGATTCTTCAACTTAAAATGTTAAAATCAATTTTGAAAAATATATATAAAATATAGGTACAAAAGAACATTGTGAATCTATTCTACAAGAATTTCTACTTCATGAACCAAAATCTCAAGATAAAGGTAATTAAAAAAAACTTATTACCATTTCATATTTACTTATAAATTTATTTATAGAAAATATATCTGAGACTCTCGATGATTTATTATTGATGGGTATTCTTGCAAAAATATTAACTAAAGTTGAATCTATTGATACAAATGATGATAGTGATATTCATAATGTTAAATGTGCTGTATGTGAAATGGAACCTATTCGTCGAACTGATAGATATCGTTGTTTAGAATGTATATCACCAACATATGATATATGTGGACGTTGTTTTGAAAGACGTTGTCAAACAGGAAAACATTTTACAGGTCATGCTATGGTTCAATTTAAATTATCAAATGAAATTTTCGGAATACAATTTAATAATATTGATAATGAAGTTAATTTAAATAATTTAAGAAATTTAGATATATTACAATATGAAAAACATGATGGTATAAAATGTGATGGAATTTGTCATCAACAAACAATAATTGGTTTACGTTTTAAATGTGATATATGTCCAAATTATAATTTATGTAAAATATGTGCTATTGATAAACATATATGTACAAAAAATCATACGAAAGATCATCCATTAATTTTAACTTCAAATAAAATTATACCACAAATTGATCCAGATGATATTAAATTAAAAGAAACTTTAGGTAGAGGAGGATTTGGTAAGTTTTTCAAATTAACAATTTAGAAATATTTATATGTTAATAATAGGTCGTGTATATAAAGCACTTTGGCGTTCAAAAAATCTTCCAGTTGCTTGTAAAATAATTGAAACATCTAATAAATCATCTGAATCAGATCATTTACGTCGAAGTTTTCTTCAAGAACTAGCTGCCTATCGTGAATTATCAGGTTCATATATTCTTCGAACATTTGCCTATGCTATTCGTGATATATCAATACAAAATAATCATGGACAAAAAACTCAATATATGATATTAATGGAATTAATAGGACGTGGAAGTTTACGAGATGTTCTTGATAATGAACCACATAAATTATCATTAAGACGTAAATTAACAATGTCTCGACAAATAGCATCAGCTATGAGACGTATTCATCAACATGGTATGATACATCGTGATATACGACCTGATAATATTCTTATTACAGATAATTATATTGCTAAAATTGGTGATATGGGTATTGCACGTGTACTTGATCCAAATTGTCAACATACTCAAGTAGGTTTTAAAAAATTTATGCCACCAGAATTTTTTCGAGATGGACTAAATGGTTTTGCTAAATTTAATGAAAAATTAGATATATATACATATGGTCTTACATTAAATCAATTATTTACAGAAAAAACTCATGATTTTCGATCATGGGCATTAATATCACGTATAGTTATAATTGAAAAAAGTCCAATATTATATGATGAAATTATTTTAAGATGTATAGATGATGATCCAAAAAAACGACCAACTGCTATTGAAATAGAAAAAATTTTAAAATTCTATGAAGAAGCTTTTTCAAAAACAATCAATTCAAATGCTTATAAAAACATGGATTTGAAACAAAAAAATAAAGCATTAATTGATTTTTATGAAAAAAATAAGGGAAAAATGCAAGGTCTTGTTAAAGAAAAAATTTCTCAAAATATCGTACGAGAAATTCCAATAGAAATTAGAAATAAAAAATAACAACAACCAATACCTGATGAACCATTAAATGAAAAATGTCGAGTGAATTAATGTTTTTTTGTTTTTATTTATTTAATAAATATGATTGTCAATTGATTGAAACATTTTTCAATCATTTATCGATTTAATTAGAAAAACAAAAAAAAAATACTTGTATTCAGAAATTTATTTTTTCTTAGATGTCATTTGATATTCAAATGTTGATGATAATATAATGTTATTCGAATTCAGTCTATGTTTGTGTTCTTTAGATACATATATTGAAGCGAACTAAAACTAAAAAATACTGGTTTGTTTTGAGGGTCGTGCGGAACAAACTTTTTCTATAGTACAAATCTGTATATTCTTCTCATAATTAACAGATAATGCAAAAGTTCTTGGAAAAATGTTTCGAAAAGGACGATAAGTTCTAGCCATTTGCCATATATCCTATTTATGCATCGATAAACTTAGAGAATAGTCCATTCTAAAAACTTATGAAATCAAAATAGCTTCTAGTAAACCACTTTTACATTTTCCGGAAAGTATTATCTTTAAATTTTATAGATTAAAATTTTTTCTGCTCTTGAAAGATGTGCTTGATACTCGAACGTTAAAACTTAGAAATTTGAAGATCTTATTAGAAAGCTCATCAAATGTAGATTATCAATAGAATATTTCAAAACATGTTTTAGCAGGCGAAAAATGGAGTCATATTTGTACGAAGATTTTTGCATTACTAAATTTTTCCCGACTGAATATTAGTGTGGACTCACTAATTGAAGGGCAGCGATGATAAAAATTTGTTGAGAAAGTTCTTCAAATGTAGATTTTAAATTTTTCTATAACGTGTTTCAGAATAAGAAAAAGGGACAGATATTTTCCCACGAACTTTTACATTACATGTTAGAACTAGAATCATGAAAGCTTAGGAAAATATTCAGATAGTTGCAAGAGATTCGTACAATTCTAACTCGGAAGACGTAGCAAAATGTATCAAGAAATTCATGTAAAATACAATTATTATTTATTCTTCAACGATCTTAATATAAAGAAGTAAAATTTTAATGAAGCAAATCGGTATTGAATGTTTTTTAAGCTAGCTGAGACATTTTATATTGTGTTTTCTATTAAAGCTATGACAGAGGGTGTGGATGTGTAGGTCTTGTTCTCCGTGGCACCCACCTCCATCCATACGCACGCACACCCAAAATAGAATAAAAGAATTCATTTTACTTTTATTTTTCTTTGTTTTACAGAATATTCCGTTTACCACATCTATAGTTGTTCTTTTCTACTTAGACCAGGCTAGAAAATGATTTCTTTTCTAAATCAACTGATTCTCATCATCCACTCTTTTATTTGTTCAAGGATGACTAATATGTGTAGAAAAATGATGAAGTTCATAATGCCTAAGTAGGGTATGGGTGTGAGTGAATGGATATGGATTTTTATCTCGAGAATATCTATACTCACACCAACACCCATACCCTATTCTCTAGCGTCTGTATAAAGAAATTACGTATGTATTGTTTTTGGTTTGCTTTAGTTCTTCTAAGATGAATCAATAAAACTAATACAATTACATAGTCTCTTGAGAAAATTTATGAAATCAAAACTTCGATGTTTACTCTGATAACTTAGACTGTGCCCTTCTCATTTTGTGGGAAATATTTTTTCATAAGTCTTTTTATCAGATCATCAACAAAAACGAGAAATATTCAACGTATAATAGTTTCTAATCTAATAGACGAAAGAAACGCATAAGAAATTGAAGTTTAATATAAGCTTTCTATTTTGATACAAGATTCTTTGAAGTAATGATGAAATTAGATAGTTGCAAAACAACTTTTCTCATAAAAAACATTGTGAGATGTTCTAGTTGGTGATATTTGATGATCTGTATCATCGATAGAAATATGAAAATGATTGGTTATTGGCTCATAAAATGCACTTGAGCGAAACTTCGGTATCAAGACAGAAAAAAATAAGACGAGGCTTTTTAATGGTATTCCAGAAAGGGCGTAGGTATGGGTTAGAGTCCCTCACCGGATCCAAAAAAATTTCCTGACCCAGTAAAAGAAATACGAACCGTTCTGTCATTTTCATGGGTGTGGGTGTGAGAGAAAAGGGAAAGGGTGTGGGTGTCGGTATGAGTGTGGGTGGGTATGGATGTGGGTGTCGGCGTAGGTGTGGGTGAAAAGATACTCCACACCCACATTCCACACCCACATCCATACCCACGCCGACACCCACATTTTCAAACTGATGATTTTTCTTTATTTGGAATAATTAATACAAAAAATACGTTTTAGAGAATGCTCATTATAAACCAATTCTGAACATTTATAACGTTTATTTGAAATTTTTCTATCTCTAGAAAAATGGCAAATTGAACATCGTTTTCGTTTGGGTTGAATAGAGTTTTCATTTTCTTTTTGTGTTTCTTCCTCTATCACAGGATAGCCCACGACAACTAACGCATTTTGAAGATCTTTATTCAAATTTGTCGAGGTTCTAGAGCAAAAATTCAGAAGAGATGAGAGTAAACTTATTCCTAATTCTTCAAGGATATATATGTATATCCCAGTGACCTTAGCATAGAGTCAGGAATAGAAAGAAGAAAAACAAAATACTTCCACTGTATTTTCAAATTTTTAAGTGTGGGTCAAAAATGACCCACTTGGTACTACTAGGGTTAATAAACGAGGAAAAGACCTATTAGAACTGAATTTTATAGTTTTAAAGGTCCCGGCTAGATCTTATAAATGCACTTCGCATGCAAAAAATCTAAAAAATCCCGTTCGGTCTTCAATGTTACAGGAACTTCTGTACATTCTTTGGTGTCAATGATTATTTGGCCAGGCCAGTTTCGTTCTATTTCTCATTCATCTTGGCTTTTATTATATCAATTTTTCTCTTTAAAGTTACGAAGTTAGGATGATTTGAGGGCAATGACATCTGCCATACTTCCTTTGCTTTAGTGTAGTGCTCGAGAGCACGTTTATATTCGCCATTTTTATAATGTGCTACACCTATGGATTCATATGTGGTTCCAAAGTTAGGATGGTTCTCTGAAAGTTGATTCTGACGATCAACTTCGAGTGATTTTTCAAAGTATTCTATGGCCGAGACACAGTCATCATTATCGAGATGTATATTACCGATGACAGCGTAAACATCTGATAATTGAGAGTGATTCATTGGAAGTAGAATATCGAGCGCTTTCTTTTGATAGTCGAGAGCCAAATCAAGTTCTTTTTTAAACCAGTGAACTTCACCAATTGATCTATAAGCTATTCCAATTTTCTCTTGATCATTGAGTTTTATTAACAACTCAAGCATATTTTCATAACTTCTTAAGGCTTCATCATACTCCTTCAGTTCACGTGCAACGATACCAAGTCCACGGTAGCAATTGATTCTTTCATAGTTACTTGTTGATGAATCTAGTAATATCTGCTCTAAATAGTTTTTCGCTTTTTTCATATTTACCTTGTCTAGCTAACAACCACTCGAGAGAGGTAATATCATCATCACCAACTGCTTCCTTCATCTGTTTCATTAAATCCTTTAATTCGAAATTGTCTTTGCTACAAAGGCTCAAAACTGCAACCCACGTTTGTTTGGAATCACTGTATTCAACTTTCTTAATTCGAAAAATTGATCCTAACGTGAACAAGACTTCTTCTTCATCATGAAAATATGATAGATTCTTAATATTAGCATACGGCGTCGTATTAATGAGACGAGTGTCAATGTTGAACTGAAAGAGAATGTGCGTGGTGTGTGCGTCAGGCGATTCATTTGATTTAGCAAACATGAGAGCTACTTGTCGATCGGTGCTCGTACTCAAAAAACTTTGCATTGATAGAAACTGCCCAATATTTTGACGAATGAAGTTGACTTCTTTCACTTCAATAGCATGACCACGGTAGACACGGAAAACAGGATCGGCAGAGGGCAACGATTGTAGAAATTTCACATGTTCATCAGTTAATTGTCGATGTAGATCGATGATGAAGAAGCGTAGAGAGAAAAGGACTTCGAAGTCTGATTCTCGAAGTGCTTTGTTCAGTGTTTGGTAAAGAAACGATGCTCGAGTGTACCATTCAATAGCTTCCTTTGGACGGTATTCCTTTTCAAATTCTATGATCATACGTTCTTGTACTGCATCGTCTTGATAGATTTGTTTAAAATGATCGATAAGATCTTGTTTGGCAGCAATCCGGGACCTATTAAGTTGCATTGTTCGAAAAAGTTGTATGAGAAAACGTTCAGTAGAAGGATTTGAACTGTTTAGCTGCACTCTTCGCAAAGCATCGATCTGATCTTGTTTAATAGGAGCATTGGCACTTACATCGTGCATGATCGTTTTCAAAAATTCGTCGATGATAGCTTGTTTAGAAGTTGCGTCTGATGTCTCGGTCGTCAGTGTTTTGAAAATATGATTGATCAAGTCTGGTCTACCGGACAAATCACGGTTGTCCGTATCCAGTTTTAGGAAAATGTCTATGAGTAGTTGGAAATACATGAACGTAGTATTCTTTGACTGTCTTTCTTCTAATGTACTTTCATCTACTGTAGCTGTACTGTAAAAATTTATAGTTAGTGGGCTGCTATCAATTCGTTCACGAATACATTGGTCAGTTGATACTGCACAGATTAGATCGTTAGATTTTTCGAATACACCTTTAATCTATAGGAGAAGATATGCATGTAACAAATTGGTTAGAGTGCTCGATTTTGAACGAGTCATCGACAAATTTTTGCTTCTTTTTCTCACAAGCAAAAGGCGGGTGGCACTTGAGTACTTTCATCTACTGTTTCTCAGAACTTATCTACCGTGTGTTTGGAACAAAATCGAGAACTTGAGCCGATTGATATATGCCTAGAGGAAGATGAACGACTGGGATAAGACAGTCCTGTAGTTTAGTATTCAGTGGCTCATCTCTGACAATATATAGCATTGAGTAAAAAAATAGAATTGTACGTTCAGCAAATCGACCGTATGTGTTGATGCATCAGTACTATGGTTATATGTCCCAGCTCTTTTTTTACATGAAATAGCTGTGCCAGATAGAGGTCTACAAGTATGAAGTGTTTAAGATTGATTTTTGGACCTTTCAGTCTCTTGCTCAACTTTCTAAAAGTGATATTTTCATGTAGAAGATTAACGAGGTAAGTTTAGGCTCACTGACATCGATGCTGATGTATGTCGAGTCGAATGATGTCAAAGACTAACAAAGCTTCATAGAATTTGACTCCACCTGTGATCATTTCTCAGCTTCATCGAAGAGAGCCAGAGAAGACGGAAGCACTCACTTTATCATGATCCTTTGTCCAATCTGTGGACACTTTCTTGTCACGACAATGGACATAAATCGCTTTCAGCTGTGTAAATTCGTGAATGTGAGGAACAATATTACCTTCGTAGGCATCGGAAACAATTAGAATGACCTTCTTCTTCTCCACATCGGTCAGATAATCAACACATTCATCTGGATTATCAAAGACTTTTAATTGATTAACAGCTGATCTGAACTTTTCTTGTGTAACGAGGTTTTCTTCAGTGTCATTAACATTTTCATCGAGCCAAATGATAGTGTATTTGGACGATTCATTTGTCACATTTCTGAAACGTCGAGCAGGCTTGTCTGCAGCTGTCGTCGTAGCGGGCTGAGGGTTATCTGATGTAACACTGTTATTGTCCGAATATTTAGCAGTCATTATTTATATTTAAATCAAGATGAAGCCAGTAAGACGAAGTCAAATGACGTGGAAAAAAATGAAGCTGTAATAAATATGTTTCTTTGTCTTTCTATATTTTTTCTTCTTTCAGCACTACACATTTAGTTCTTATTCTTCTTTTTATGGAGTGTGTTTTTTTTGCGTTCAAATAATTCTTTTTCACGTCACAAAAATATAAAAATCTTTTTCTCTCTCTCTCTCTCTTTCTTTTCCTTTCATTGAAAGTATAAGAGTTGGAAAGAATAAAAATAATAATTTCTTAGTAACTATGTAAAGAAAAGAACGAGCACTATGTCAATGGAGTAGATAGACAAAAAAAGAGAATCTAAACACGCACTTAGATTTTTTGAGTTTCTGTCGGTTTTTCAACTCCTCATATTGTTAAGAACTATTGGAAACCTCAATTTGGTGCTCACTTTATCATAGCTCTCATTTGTTTCTACTAAGCGGAAGAAAGAATTAAGGGAGAAAGTGTCAAAAAGCTACAGAGAAACGATTGTTTGCATTAGTTTTTTCTAGTAAAGTAAAATATATTTGCAGCAGGAGGGTGTGAGTGTGGATGTTGGTTATGGGTGTTCATGTGAATGAGATGAATACTCACATCCACATCCACACCCATAGCCACATCTCACACCCATACCCACCCACACCTTTCATTCGATGAACTCGGAAACTCTCCATTACTACTGATGGAAATGCATGTCGCGTTCTCGTACCCGTTCGTAGGAAAGGGAACGCAGTGACGTTCTCCGCTCCTGGGAACGGGAACGCCAAACACACTAACATAAAAAGATAAGCGAACATGTTTACAACCCTTGTCAAATTGACACAAAGCTAGAAAAGGCAATTTTGAGATGCGTTCCCATTCCTAGGAACGAAACGCTGAAGAACGGGAACGCTAACATCCCTAAGTTCGACTGTCACGATTTAGACGCAAATGAAACGCGATTGAGAGGTGTTTTGATTCAAAAAATATTTACATGGGTTCATTTGCAGTCACAGATAGGATACTAGTTAGAAGGAAAAAAGATTAATATTCTTATTTTTATTATCTGTACGAGTTTCCCAACAGTTTCAATTCGTCAATCACAGAAACGTGTTCAGACGCGTTTCTATTATAAACCGCATTTAGGCATTAAAAAAAGTTGTACTAGAGACGCGTTTTGAAACCAAATCGTGTTGAGTTGCGTTTCAAATCATGAATACGCTCAGTCGCGTTTCGACGCGAAAAATATCTACATGAGTTCTGAAACAATACCTTTATAGTGCTAAAAGTCAACTTTGTATCATCGGTTCATGATAAAATATTTACCACTCACAATTTTACTCAAACATTTTTGCATCGGTCATCATGAATGTTTCTCATTCAAATGAGAATATAGATCACTCTCGATGATATGCAAAACTGACGATTGTTAATGCTGTGAAAGAGGAAAAAAATTACGCATATCTAACTTTACTCATGCCTTAAGTTGCAGATAATGTTGCACTTGAAACTGTAACGTGATATTTGTGTTAACGATGACAAAGCAAGCATTTTATATATAAAAGTTACTTCTTTCTTATCATTCTCTTAGATATTTTTACCATACTATTGTGTGCAAAATACAAAAGGGTTGGAAAATGAGACTAAAGATATTGTCATTGCCGTTGATCTTATTTATTAATCAATGTTTATGTCAAAGAGGTTTTCCAACACAATTTCAAGCAACATTGAATATCAGCAGATTATATTCATGACAAACATCAACGCAAGATCTCCAACAATTATTATATGATTATGAAAATTTAAGAGTTCGTTTAGATGTACAAGGATGGAGATTGAAACAAAACGAAACTTACATGATTAAATATAAACCTGATGGTGCTGAAGCAGATTCAGTCAGTAGAAAGTAACTCGTTATATGGGAAAAAATTAACTATAAAGCTTTTTTTTAGCCAGCTTCACAAGGTTTTACAATGTTCAATTTCAATCCTGATTATCCAGAATTTACAAAAGTAAAAAAACCAATTTTCTTATCTTTCTCTTTAAATAAGATGTTATTTTGAAGAACAATTGTTGGTACAGAACAGATCCAATGAATGATTTCGGTCCATTTACGTTCAGCTGGTTTTATGATTCAGGAACTCATACTGAAATTCAGCCATGGTTTCCATTACCACCAAATCTAATCTACAAGGGTGAAGAATAGATACCTGAAATTCAACAAAATGCAACAGTATGTTTTTTTCGTGCGATTGCAGTTGGACAAGTCTATGAGATAAGCAATCTTTCTTGCTTTCAGATGACGAATAAAGAGAGTCCTGCCTTCTACAATTATAGACGACTGTAAATAGGCAATTTCACGAAAAATAGGACAAATTCGTTTGTTCAAAAATTCGAAATTACGTTTCAAAATTTTGGCGTAGTTACCAACTATTGTCTTCAGTTTATAAAAAAGCATGATTTTTTTTCGTTTCCGTAGCTGCAGAAACTAGAAAACCAGTTTTAGTAGAGTTGTTCCTATATTACGCAAATTTTCCTACCTTTTTCTTCAAAAAACAGAAAAACTGTGTTAAAACCCCTTCCTTGTTAATCTCGTCTTCTAGAAACCTTAATAAAACATAAAATCATTTTTTAATATGATTTACTAAACAGCACACTTGGAAGAATAGTTGTCCTAAATTTCACGGTGAGTGATTGAACATTTGCAGAGATATGAAAGTGTTAAAAATAGTCGATTCATACTCTATCATGTCCCTAACAAAAAGTAAACTGAATTTTTTGAAAAATCTGAGCATGATCACAAAAAACTTTCGATAGAGATTTTGTAGCCTCAAATCTCTTCTATAGAGTGTACTATTTAGTTTTTAAGAAAATGTTCTCTCAATCTACAGATTTTTCAAAATGAAATGCGTGCAGTGAAAATCGATGTCCTTTTCTGAGTAACGTCCCTAACGCTACTTTTTGATGATAACTTCTCTCAACAAAGGGCTATACAGCTGAACTTTTGAAGCTATCTAGAGTAACCTAATATGCCTATGGCATAAAAAAATCAGCTCTAAAAGAGTTCGTTATCCAGAGATATAAGCATTTAAATTTTGTGAAATCATGTCCCTAACGAATCAGATTGCACATATGTTTAGGTGTTTTCTAAATATATGATGTTATGTCTTTCTAGTAGAAGTATTATCAATAGGGATGTGCAGTTTCAGTGGAAACACTGAAATACCGACAGTGATATCACCGTCTTGAGCGCACTGACTACACTGTCTGTATCGACACCGACACTGATGGCACCGACTATACTGTCCACACCGACACTGATGTTCACTGAACCAATGACCACACTGATACTGACTGCACTGCACTGTTAAAAAAGGATAAAATAAACTCTTGCTCTAACTGCATTATTTTACAGTGTAGTCACTGCGTCGACGAACGACAGTGTGACTTTGTCGGTGGTCAGTATACTGAAACTGCACATCCCTAACTATCAAGTACAAATTCACGCACATCTAACACTCGATACAAAAGTCTTTACAAAAATGTGAATATTTCTTAGGCCATATTGCCGAGTTCGAAACCAATTACTTTTTTTATTGAAAAGAGCAAAGTCTAAACTACAAATCTTGTACCAGACATATTTTTCTAAAACACATCTAAGAAGGAGGAAAAGCCAAAAATCAAACACCTATAGGAAAAAGTTCTTGCAAATTACCCGTCATGCAACATCCTTTCTATCTTCTGTTAATTTTTTTACATCAGAACTGAAATGGAAAAACAGTTCAATGATGACTTGTTTTTTATGGTAAATATTTATATAGTCGGATAAATTAAATAGTTTTCTATTTTTGTGTGTTTTTTCTTTTCGAATATTTAAATCAATTTGATAGCACCATAGTAGATATATCTCGATTGATGGATATTAAAATATATCATGGTATTATCACGCAACGACAGCTAGTTCTGTATTAGGTACTGTAATAGGTTGTCTACTACCTAAAACATGGAGAATAATATTATTTCAAATAAATAATGCTGTTTTTTATTAAGTGATCTAAATGTGTATTAATACTAAAAGCATTCAAAAAACAAAAAAAAACAAATAGAATTCTTTTCTTCGTGTACAGAAAAATTTCTACTATAACGAAAAATTTTAATATCATCTGAAATTCTAAAAATAATCGATTTGTTGATGATTGTCATGTTTAACGTAATATTTTTCTTTTTATTTACTTTATTTTATTAGTCAGTAAATATATAATGTTTTGTTTTATTGAGAATTCGTCATAGATTTCTATGACTCTTATAGTGAAGTAGAATACTATAAGTAGATTTATCAATTAATTTAAAAAGAAAAAAGAGAGAAAATAATAAGTGCTTAATAAAATTCAACTAGAAACATACATATGTAGACAAACGATAACACTTTATATGTATTTTTTTTGCTTAAAAAATTTAAGAACATATTAATAGTCAAGGAATTTCAAATTAAAATAAATGATTCAGTATTCACATTAATACTGTTGTGTAACTATATTATATATTATGATATACAATTATTTTTATTAAAGAATTTATTTCAAGAAAACTAAAATTCTATCAAATCTGTCCTATATAGCTATAAACTCATGAGTTGTATAGATTTTATTTGCCATTTTTTTCCTTTAACTATCATCATTTTTTAAACCTTTTTATGTGATATAATACATTGATTCATTTTTATTATATTATATTAATCAATATATTACATTATAATCAGAGATGTGCTTCAAAAAAAACGTGGAGGGATGAAAAACGTTCTTTTTCCATTTTGTGATCTTTTATTTGAATAAAATGTATGATTTTCGCTGGGAAAAACTGATCATTTTTTAAACGTGGAGGGGCGCGCACCTCCGCACACCATGGGCCGCACATCCATGATTATAATTCTACATAAAATTGGTATTGTATTTCGAAACAAGAATATTTATCATAACGTATTAAATTCTGATGAATTTATAAAACAATTTGATTCATCTTTTCCACTAACACTCACAGCATAATTTATTTATTTATTTATTTATATACCCTTACCGTTACCAGTGTGGGGTGAGAAACATAATACAAAAAAATAGTAAAAAAGAAAAAAGAACAAAAAAAGTAAGAGAGTCTATTGTCTATTTTTCGACGAACACCACGTTGATTGCCACTAGAATTGAAAAAAGATATTATCAGTCTATTACCCTCTGATGAACAGTTTAGATAATAGACATCATACGAATCTCAATTCAATTATGGTAGTTGAAAAGCCATCAATTTGTCTATTTAATCCTATTTCTTTTGCACCACACTTTTGCTGCCACGCATGATTTGACGTGATTTGTAATTCCCTGTGGCTTAAAACTTAGTGTGCAGCCAGGACATCTATATTGTTTGTTCTCTTTAACCAATATTTCTGTGACTTTACGTTTTATTGAGTCTGTCAATACAGCTAGATCTGTTTTTCTTCTCTGAGCTGATTGTTTTTTATATTGATACACAATATCTTTAATGTTTGAAGAAACTGGTTTTACATAAACATTCTTATCAATTGTTTCACGCCATTTTTTCCTGTCAAGCGTTAACCTGCGCCAGTTCTGTATTTGTAATTCATTTATGTCTTTTAGAATTTTGTCCTCCCACTGTTTGCATCTTCCTATATTACTAGGTCTCTTTTCATCATGAAAATATGAAAACATCACTTTTTTTATTAATGATGGTGAACCGTTCGGGTTAGTAGTGCGGTTAACGTGCCCAAACCATCTTAGTCTGTTTCTACGCATAATATTTTCAATTGATGGTTGACCTGTAATGTCTAACAATGTTTCATTAGACATTCTATCACCTAAGTTTACTCCTATGATTGTCCGTAAACATTTATTATAGAAAGTAGTTATTCGTTGTTCTTGTTTTAAAGTAAGAGCCCATGTTTCACTACCGTATAGTAAAACTGGTATTACACAAGCTCTAAAAATTCGAAGTTTTGCTGTGATAGAGACTGATTTTCTATGCCATATGACATGGCGTAGTGAATTAAAAGCTTTAGAAGCTTTTGTTAGTCTTACAGATATTTCTGTGTCATGTCGCTGATCTTTCGTTATAGTGCAACCTAAATATGTAAAAGAGTCAGCTGTTTCGATTTTTTGATTTCTAATATTTATATTTATATCGTCATCATAGTTGATAACTTGTCCTTTTAATACCTTTCTATGTTGACCTTCTTTTAGTTGTTGTAGTGACATCACACAGGTTTTTTTTATGTTCATAGTCAAACCATATTGTTGTGTTACTTTTTCAAAACAACTAATGAATTTTTCTAGATCAGAGATCTTTTCACACATTACAAGTAGGTCATCTGCATATAATAATGCCAAAATGTCAAATTCACCATGGTTTTCGTTTTTCCGTGAAAGAAATCATTACTACCATACGAGAATTTTACTCCTGATATGGCAGCTTCATTAATAACTTCTCTTATGATGAAGTCAAATAGAATGTTGAATAGGATTGGTGAAGGAATACCTCCTTGCATTACACCTGTATTCATTTCGAAACTATCCGACAATTCACCATTTATTTTGACTTTTGCTATTGAGTGTTTATATAGTATTTTTAATAAGCTAACCAATTTATCAGTAATGCCATAACTACGACATACCTTCCATAAGAGTCTACGGTTGACCGAATCGTAGGCTTTCGTGATATCAATGAAGCACATAAATAAAGGCTTATTGAATGCTCTTCTTTTTTCCATTGTCATTTTTAAAGTAAATATCTGATCTGTAGTCGACCTATTTGATCTAAAACCAGATTGTATTTCTAATAGTTGGCAGTCTACTAAATCATGAATACGGTGAAGTATAATACGTGAAAATATTTTACTAGTTGTATTCAATAGTGCGATGCCTCTGTAGTTGTCGCAAATTTTCCTATCACCTTTATTCTTGTACAGTTTGGTTAGGGTTGTCATGTTCCATTCCTTTACCATCTGCTCGTTCTCCCATACATCAGTAAAGAATTCGAACAGTCATCGTATTATTGGTTCACCACCAGCTTTTAGGATGTCAACTGTAACTCCATCACTACCTGGGGCTCTCCTAGACTTCGTTTGATTTAATGCTTTCCTCACTTCTTCAATAGATGGTGGTGCATTTTGCCGCCGCTCTTCAGTTATTGACAGAGTCGGTGTTTCAATTAGGGCAATGAGATTTTGATCAATTGATGAGTTTACGTTGAGAGTTTCATAGAAAAATTCACGCCAACGTTTCAAGGTATCTCTTGAATTTACCAGTAGTTTACCACTTTTATCTTGCACTGGCATGTTTTCGCCTCTTTTACTTCCTCCTCTGAGACGTCTAATAATAGAAAAAGCCGTTATAGGATTATTATTTTTGATAGATTTTTCTATATTTTCGCATACTTCATCCCAGTATTCTTCTTGACGATGTTCCGTCATTATTTTCACTATTTTTCGCAGGCGTTTATAGTCTTTATGAGATTTAGACTCTAAATTAGAGCCACGATTGTTTTGCCATTCAACAAAAGCTATTGATTTTTGGTCTATAACTTTAAGAATGTCGCTTGTCAACCATTCTTTCCTTTTTCGGTTTGTGTTTTTGTCAACAGGAAAATGATATTTGGCCTTTTCTTTTATCTGTGACAAAAATAGTTCGTATCTCTGATCAATGCTGATTGTATCATCTTTTGCATTATCGAATATGTCACGAAGATCTTTTTGAAACGCTTCTAGTAATTTGTCATCTTTTAGCTTAGCACTATCAACGTTTATTTTCTTCGAGTTGACATTTTTTTTTCTGCTTTTCAGATGTATTTTAATCTTGACACGCATTAGATGGTGGTCAGTTCCTATTGTACCTGCTGCCCCTCTGAGCATTCGAACATCTTCAACACTTGATCTAAACTTCTTATTTACAAGAGTATAGTCGATCATGTGCCATTTTTTATTTCTTGGATGCATCCACGATGTTTGATGCACTAGTTTATGTTTGAAAAATGTGTTAGAGATTATGATGTTGTTAATCTCACAGAAGTCGATAAGTCTCGTCCCATTTTCATTTTCTATATCAACTGTAAATGGTCCTATACCGCTTCTTATTACGTGTTGATGTCGTTTTTGTTGATCATTGCCAACTCTCGCATTTAGATCACCCATAATGATGATCATATCTTTTGTGGATACATCATTTAATGTATCTTGTAAGTCATTATAGAATTTATCATTTTCATCGCTCATTTGTTTCGTTATTGGATTAATAGGAGAATAGACTGCAATTACAGTAATGTGAATTGGTGCGCAGTAGAGTCGAATTTTAATAATTCGTTCACTTATTGGTACCCATTCGCTCCCTGAATCCTTCCAAACTTTTGTGGCAATCGGATTGAGACAGATTGCCACACCATGAGCTTTTCGTGTTTTTCTGTCGTATGGCGCACCTGAATAGATCATCGTGTAGTCGCTTACTAATTTTACACCGGAATCACACATACACGTTTCACTTAGTGCGGCTATTTGTATTTGATATTTTTTTAATTGTTTGATTATTATTTCTCTCTTTGATTGCTTTATACAAGATCTAACGTTCCATCCGCCGAAGAAGACATGATTTTGTGCATTAACGCACCTATAATGTTTCCTTTCGTTAGCAGAGATTGTTTAATGTCCAGCTAGAGATTGCTAGCCTCATGACCAGACGAGTGGCTACTAGCAGCCCAGGGACGCCCCCTACAACCACTCGAAAGTGGTCGTAGGACCCTGTGAAAGTTAAGAACTTTCCTAGCAGGCGGATCTCACAGCATAAACATGTATATATCGACACAATAAGAGTCGATTTATTTCATTTTTTTTAATCGATTAATGCTAAAAGAGCAATTCAGTACTGAAACGTAAAAATTCATTCTTTACACGAATATTATATCGTATAAAGGAGAATAACATTCAAATGTTTTTTTTCTATTATAAAAAGAGCAGATTCGAGCTAAACTATAAATCCAACAACTATTCCATATAATTTTCTTTTTTCGAAATCGCTTAAATCCTTAATAAGAGCAACGGGGTGGGACGGGGTGAAAAAGACCATAAAAGGAAAAATAGTTGTGAACAAATATTTTAATTAATTTTTTTTAGAATTCGCATGAAAGCAAGGCGCGCCGTATAAAAATTGTGTACGGCAGTAGATCCCGCGGCAGTAAATCCTGTACACGGTTTTTTGTATCAAAATATAGCTTTTTTTTGGAAGAAGCTGTATAATTTGGTTGTTCTTACTATCTGACTGTTTTGCAACAATAAAATTATTCTTTCAGTTATTTTTTTTCTACTAAGTTTCTATGATCTGACATATTTCGAACACATAATGCACAAAGAATTCTCATGCATGGTTTTCAGAAATGGTTGGTAGTGTCCTTGAAAACTAGAAGATCTTGCGAAAGTTCCCATTTTACAAAAATTTGAATTTCCAAACTTTTATTGTTGGAATTCGGCCCATATAGCTCAAAAGAATTCAGAAATACAAACTTTTCAAGTTGCAAGAACGTTTTTAGATGTGTTTGATTTTTCGTTTTTCCGCCTTCTCAGATTTGTTGTGAAAAAATATGTCTTCTACGAAATTTGTAGTTCAGACTTTGCTTTTTCCAACAAAAAAAATTAATTGGTTTCGAAGTCAGTATTATGGTCGGAGATTCCTTCACATTTTGCAAAGAGTTTTGCATTTCATGTTAATTGCAAGTAAATAAAATGTATCAGAAAAGACTTTCATTGTTTTAGAGATATGATTCAGCAGAAATATGTGATTTAGAACGATCTGGTATTGGTAAAGTTCCATGCTTAAGTTATTTTGAAACACAAGATAGACCAGTTAAAACCATTACTGCACATGCTGCTCATGGTTCTTTCGATACTGATGAGTAAGTGTCAATTGTACGTTTCTAATGAGTCAATAGATAACCCATGTCTGTACATAGGTACACCAGTACAGTTTATTTGCCATTTACACATGGTATTCCACCAGAAGTTGAACGTTTGTTTAATTTACCTAATCAATGGCCCTCTTATTGTGGTAATGCAAATGCAGGTTAGTTACCACTTTCAGTTACTTGTCTAGCATTACTTGTGTCATTGTATTTTGATTGTTTTTAGGTTTTACTATAGAACCTCTACATGGATTTGTGGTAACACCAGATGGTCAAGATCATTTTACATTAAAATTACATACACCACCAGTTCATTCACTAGGTGATCAAGTCAAAGTCGAGTTTAA